ACAATATTTATTATTGATTGTTGATCTAAAGCGTTCATACGGACCGTGTTCTGTGATGAGTTTTCTTGTTGCTGTCCCTGTGCTCAAGGTGCCTCTTAACCACTGGATCTCTCACATCTACTGTCGGTTCAGTTTGCCTTTGATGCGCCTTTTCTCCATGATCCAATAGTTCTTTTCTAACAATCTTTGGGTACCCTCTGGTAATTTAACATAGCTATGGAAAATCACCATGCTATTAATGGGAAAATCCACTAAGATTGACCTAGATCATTCTTCATCATTCCAGGGAGCCTTGCTGGTGCTAACCCGACAGTTTGAGGATAAATTTCTTCGTCTGTTCATCGCGAGCGCTCCGCGACGACGTTTTGGAAAATGCCAAGCCTTTCGCTCGACTGGGCCTTTCTACTGCCAGTCGAAAAAGGTCTCCAAAGGACATCTCAAATATAAAAACCCAGCAAGCTGCAGCCCGCAGACCAAAAGGAACATCTACTATATACTGCAATCTATATCTGTAATATATATATATATATATATGCATGTATATATATATATATATATCTAGATATACATGTATATCTATATATATATATATATACATGTATATCTATATGGAGGTTTCAATAAACGGGGGGTACCCCAAAATGGATGGTTTATAAAGGAAATTCCTATAAAATGGATTGAAATGGATGATTTGGGGGTACCCCCGTGACTTAGGAAACCTCTACATATACGTATATATATATATATACACATATAATGATTGTCAAAGGAAGTTTAGGGGGAGAAACTTCCGTGTTACGGACTTTTAGAATGTCAGGGAAAGAGTTAGTCAAAGAAAGAGTTAGCAAAGAGAGTTAGTCAAAGAAAGAGTTAGTCAAAGAAACAGTTAGTCAGGGAAAGAGTTAGTCAGGGAAAGAGTTCGTCAAACCAAGAGTTAGTGAGGGAAAGAGTTAGTCAAAGAAAGAGTTAGTCAGGATATATCAGGTAGTCAAAGAAAGAGTTTACAAAGAAACAAGTTAGTCAAAGAAAGAGTTAGTGAGGAAAAGAGTTAGTCACAGAAAGAGTTAGCAAAGAAATTGTTCCTTCACTGTAAATGGCATTGCAAGTGGTGCTGGTGGAGGAGTTGCCGATGGAGTTTTGGAGGAAGTCTCGCACGAAATGCGTTTTTGAGAGATAGCAAATGCACGAAAGCCTATGTTTTTCCATACAAAGTCCGTCCCCGAACGTCGATGATCTACCTCTGCGGTGCGACGGGTGCGAGACGGTCTCGTGTGTGGTCGGATCATGCTCGGATCATGTTCGGATCGGTTCCGCATTGTAAATGGGGTTTCAACTGTTTTTCGTGCATGTGTGGTCGACAGAATTCCATTGTGATTTGCAACTGTAGGATCGTTCCCGCAATGTAAATGGGGTTGCAAGTGGTGCTGGTGGATGAGTTGCTGATGGAATTCCATTGTGATTTGCAACTCTAGGATCGTTCCCTCACTGTAAATGGCATTGCAAGTGGTGCTGGTGGAGGAGTTGCCGATGGAGTTTTGGAGTAAGTCTCGCACGAAATGCGTTTTTGAGAGATAGCAGATGCACGAAAGCCTATGTTTTTCCATACAAAGTGCGTCCACGAACGTCGATGATCTACCTCTGCTGTGCGACGGGTGCGAGACGGTCTCGTGTGTGGTCGGATCATGTTCGGATCATGGGCGGATATGGTCGGATCGGTTCCGCATTGTAAATGGGGTGTCAACAGTTTTTCGTGCATGTGTGGTCGACAGAATTCCATTGTGATTTGCAACTGTAGGATCGTTCCCGCATTGTAAATGGGGTTGCAAGTGGTGCTGGTGGATGAGTTGCCGATAGAATTCCATTGTGATTTGCAACTCTAGGATCGTTCCCTCACTGTAAATGGGATTGCAAGTAGTGCTGGTGGAGGAGTTGCCGATGGAGTTTTGGAGGAAGTCTCGCACGAAATGCGTTTTTGAGAGATAGCAGATGCACGAAAGCTTATGTTTTTCCATACAAAGTTCGTCCCCGAACCTCGATGATCTACCTCTGCGGTGCGACGGGTGCGAGACGGTCTCGTGTGTGGTCGGATCATGGTCGGATATGCTCGGATCATGGTCGGATCATGGTCGGATCGGTTCCGCATTGTAAATGGGGTTTCAACTGTTTTTCGTGCATGTGTGGTCGACAGAATTCCATTGTGATTTGCAACTGTAGGATCGTTCCCGCATTGTAAACGGGGTTGCAAGTGGTGCTGGTGGATGAGTTGCCGATGGAATTCCATTGTGATTTGCAACGCTAGGATCGTTCCCTCGCTGTAAATGGGATTGCAAGTGGTGCTGGTGGAGAAGTTGCCGATGAAGTTTTGAAGAAAGTCTCGCACGAAATGCGTTTTTGAGAGATAGCAGATGCACGAAAGCCCATGTTTTTCCATACAAAGTCCGTCCCCGAACCTCGATGATCTACCTCTGCGGTGCGACGGTTGCGAGACGGTCTCGTGTGTGGTCGGATCGGTCTCGGATCATTCTCGGATCGGTCTCGGATCGGTTCCGCATTGTAAATGGGGTTTCAACTGTGTTTCGTGCATGTGCGGTCGACAGAATTCCATTTGTGATTTGCAACTGTAGGATCGTTCCCGCAATGTAAATGGGATTGCAAGTGTTGCTGGTGGATGAGTTGCCGATAGAATTCCATTGTGATTTGCAACTGTAGGATCGTTCCCGCAGTGTAAATGGCTGCGTCAAGGTTGCTTCGTGCTGTGGCTGCATTCGTAATACTATTGTCTTTTGCAGCTGGACTTCGTAAATCGTATTGGAGTGGCTGCATGAAGGCTGCGACAGTGATTTGTCAGCAGATTTTCTCCATTTTGGCGCTAGTGATTTTCCTTCTAAAATCCTTTTAAAAAGTGCTTCAAAATCGTCTTTTTTTCGCTCTGGCGTCGAGATCCGGTTTTGGAGCTACAATTTCCGACGCCGTTGCACGTAGTTCTATTGTGTTTTGCAACTCAGTCTCTGCAGATCGCATTGTAATGGCTGCGTCAAGGTTGCTTCGTGCTGTGGCTGCATTCGTAATACTATTGTCTTTTGCAGCTGGATCTCGTAAATCGTATTGGAGTTGCTGCATGAAGGCTGCGACAGTGATTTGTCAGCAGATTTTCTCCATTTTGGGGCTAGTGATTTTCCTTCTAAAAATCCTTTTAAAAAGTGCTTCAAAATCGTCTTTTTTTCGCTCTGGCGTCGAGATCCGGTTTTGGAGCTACAATTTCCGATGCCATTGCGCGTAGTTTTCTTGTGTTTTGCAACTCAGTCTCCGCAGATCGCATTGGAATGGCTGCGTCAAGGTTGCTTCTTGCTTTGGCTGCATGCGTAATGTCTTTTGCAGCTGGATCTCGTACATCGTCTTGGAGTGGCTGCATGAAGGCTGCGACATGGATTTGTTAGCAGATGTTCCATTTTGGCGCTAGTGTTTTTTTGTTGCACGTAGGTTTAGAGCAGTGTGAAGTGTGGGGCGTGAAGAGTGCAGTGTGAAGTATGCAGTGTGAAGGAAGCAGTGGGAAGTGAGAAGTGTGAAGTGTGGAGTGTGAAGTTTAAGTTTGGAGTGCGAAGAGCGCAGTGTGAAGTGTGAAGTGTGAAGTGTGAGGTTTGGAGTGTGAAGGAAGGCATGTGAAAGGTGAAGTGTGGACTGGAGGTGAAGTTTTGAGTCTTGAACAAAAAAAAAGTGTGGAGTGTTAAGTGCGAATGAGAAGGTGTGAACTGTGAATTTTTTAGTGTGAAGTTGAGTGGGAAAGGAAGCTGAGAAGTGAGAAGTGTGAGTGTTGCTGTGAAGTTTGGAGTGTGAAGGAAGCAGTGAGAAGTGAGAAGATGTGAAGTGAGAAGTGTGAAGTGTGGACTGTGAAGTGTGAAGTGTGAGTGAAGTGTGGAGTGTGAAGTGCGAAGTGAGAAGTGTGAAGTGTGAAGTTTGGAGTGTGAAGTTTGGAGTGGGAAGGCAGCAGTGAGAAGTGAGAAGTGTGAAGTGTGGACTGTGAAGTGTGGAGTGTGAAGTGCGAAGTGAGAAGTGTGAAGTTTGGAGTGTGAAGGAAGCAGTGAGAAGTGTGAAGTGAGAAGTGTGAAATGTGGAGTGAAGTGCGAAGTGAGAAGTGTGGACTGTGAAGTGTGAAGTGTGAAGTGTGGACTGTGAATTGTGAAGTGTGAAGTGTGGACTGTGAAGTGTGAAGTGTGCAGTGTGAAGTGTGAAGTGTGAAGTGTGAGGTTTGGAGTGGGAAGGAAGCAGTGAGAAGTGAGAAGTGTGAGTGTGAAGTGTGGAGTGTGAAGTTTGGAGTGCGAAGAGTGCAGTGTGCAGTGTGAGGTGTGGAGTGTCGAGGGAAGGACACGGTCGGGACAGGTTGTCTTTGAACTATAGGTCATTTATGTTTGGGAAACTTCCGCCGCCGGCTTGCCCGGGTCTATGTTAACGATTGTTACATCTTACGTGACCCGAGAAACTTTTTGGAAGTAGATACATCAACATACCTTGACCCACCGAGGTTTAGGGAAAAAGACAAGGTCTCAACCCTCTAGGTAGAACACATATGGGGGGGGTCCTAAAAATGAAGGTACCCAAAAATGGATGGTTTATAATGGAAAATCCTATTGAATTGGATGATTTAGGGGTACCCCCATGACTAAACGGAAACCTCCTAAAATGGGTTTGTCTGAAAATGGGGGATACTTTGGAGGGCTTTGGAAGTTAGATAGGTTATAACATAGTTGTAAGTTATGTTATAACATATCTAACTTAGTGCGTAAGTAGGCTAAGTTCCTCGTAAGTTCATGATTTTTTTTGGCTACTTATAAGTTAGTTAGGGATGTTATAAGTTCAAGAGGGTATAAGTTGTTAGAAGATACAATGAACTTACGATGAACTTACAATGAACTTAGCTTTTCGAAAAATAACGTACTTTTGTGCGTTTCTTTGTGAAGAAGATGAAAAAAACTTATTTTGCACGAGTTTTGGCTCCAGCAACGATGGTTGCAGCACTAGATAAACATTTGGAGTCTTCGCAGCGCTTCCTGACTGGTGTGAGATCTCTTTCGTCCTGCGCGGACATTGAGAAAAGACAGTTGCGCGGCTTGTTGTTGGCGCTGGATAAATGCCAGAAATTGAGTACGGCTCAGGGTGCTGCGTTTTTGGAGGCTTTAGATCAGACTTTATGGTCATCGAGTTCCCTTGAGGAGCTGCGACTACGTGTCGCAGAGAAGACCATGCAAGTCGAGGAAGCTTCCGCGAGGCGCACACTGCAGGATTTCAGTCAGCTGTATCTGTTTCTCACGGAGGAATTGGCTGCAGCGATTTTGACAGGATCGATGAACAATGACCAGCTGCTATGTGCACTGTGTCAACATGCAGCGCGTCTGTCGCTTCGAGCCCCGTCAGAGCCAACTATTGCGGTAATGGTGACGCTAGCTAATTGGCAGAAGATACAGCAAGGCATAGGCGACAAGGCCAAATTCATGTTGCTACATCAGCAGAAGCCTGTGCTGAAGCGATATTTGTTGGCAGCAGGCGATGCACCGACTGCATTGGCAGCCTTGCCAACGGACTTTCGTCAATTGCCGGATAAGCTTCGGCAAGATGCCTTTGGCGATGGGGCACCTGCGGATCTGACGGCTCATGCCGTAGCGTTTCTGCAGGCTGCGAAGTCTATGCCACTCCGTGGGACGAATCGGGCCATTGCTGCGTCCTCTGCTGTGAGTCAGCACGAGCATGAGGAAGAAACGTCAGACTGGACAGCACGCATGGTGTCTGCGGCAGTGCGAGGGGCCATGGCAGCGACTCGCGTTCCAGATGCCAGCATGAACGCGTCGGTACGTCCGACTGATATGTTGGCTATCATGGATGCACCGCGTGGTGACAGAGAGGACGTGTCCGTTGCCGAAGTGGCGGCACCTGTGTCTACGGGACCGGGTGAAAGTTTGGCTGTGCCCCCACGCACGGCGACTGCTGCAGTGCCGTTGGATGTGAGTATGTCTCCGCCAACGGTTGCTGAGCAGCTTGCTGCTCTGTGTGGGGACGCGCAGGCACACAAAAACAATCGGGGATTGAAGAAGCCTGCCGCTACAGTGAGGATGAAGCGGCCCGCGGCAGCCATCGCATCTACGGGGTGTGATGGCAAGAAAGCAAAGGCAGGCAAGGCCGCCGAGGGACAGGAATCCAAGAAAGCGAAGAGCAAGGCAAAGCCCAAGGCTCAAACTGCGACAAAGCCTAAGGGGCAGATGTCGCGGGAGGAGCGTCGGCGTGCGATTCTGGCAGTAGTTCCTAAGGCGATGCAGCAACGCTATAAGGATGGATGCTCCAAGTGTCGGTACACACGCTGTACTGTGTCTTGCTGGATTGGTCGTGGGTTCTTTCCCCACGAGGGATGAACCTTTGAACGGTGCCACGCGCATCGAAAGCTGGTTTGCAGCCGAGCATATATATCGTTGCTACGAGCATCGAAATGCGACCGGCAGCCGCGCGCATGGGTTGCTTCAATATAGATGTGATTGTCTCCTTGAGACATGTGCCGCTTTGTGTGAAAAAGAGGATGTATATGGAGGGGAAGGGTATTTCGTCGATGTTGCGGTATGTGTGTCACTTGCTGAATATTGTTGCCATTCAGTTGTTATGAACGTGAGGTGTTTGTCGTTGCAGGTTTGGCTAGCATAGGGAACGAGGGGCGTTTAGCGCCACTGCCGGCCGGCGGCGTTCCGCTGAGGCGGCGGGTATATATATGGGATCACGATATATATATATACCCTGGAAGTCCAGGGACTCAAAAAGAACGTCCTCATGAAAATCCGTAGAAAGTGGATCAAAAAGGAACGTCCATGTAAAATCCTCATGATGTACCTTTTGAGGTCCCGGACCTCAAAAGGAACGTTGCTATAAACATCCTGTTGATGTACCTTTTGAGGTCCCAGACCTCAAAAGGAACGTTGCTATAAACATCCTGTTGATGTACCTTTTGAGGTCCCAGACCTCAAAAGAAACGTGGCTATAACATGCTATATAATATGCTATAATCGTGTCCAAAATGAGGACAAATCTAGAATCGTGAGAAATCGTGAGTTTTCGTGAGTAGGCCCTGTAAAAGGACCAAAAAGGAACGGTTAAGGCCCTAAAAGGTACAATATAGCGATCTAAAATCGTGAGAAAATCGTGAGAAATCGTGAGTGCATGCATCACATTTTCATTTTAAACACATGGGGGTCATGGAAGCCAAACATCCATTGCTATAAACCCTCGGCCGTAGAAACCATGACATTGCTACAAACCCTCGGCCGTAGAATCCAACAACATTGCTGTAAACCCTCGGCCGTAGAACCTCGGCATTGCTACGGTTTCTCGGCGATGATCCCTTTTTGTGGCACTTTTCCTAAGGACTCAAAAAGTACGGCCTTGGGACTTTTAGGGATATATATATATACTCTTCCACCACGAAGAAAAGCATAATATACATGGAATGGTTCACCAAGATATATGAATGTCCGGTTCCACATGCTCTTCTCTTGTGCAGGCGTCTGCATGACGCGCAAGGAGGTCAAGGAGGAGGAGTCCTCCGATGAGTACACGTACGTGACGACGGAGGGGGAGGAGGAGCCGGCAGCAGAAGCGCCGACGCGTGCTGAGAGAGAGCGCGGAAGATCAGCTGCCCCTGTGCGGACGGCTGGTGCCACTTCTGCGCCAAGCATGCCGGAGCCCCCCACGTCTCCTCCGCCTCCGAAGCCGGCAGCTACGGGCTGTGACCGCGAGCCATCGGAGGAATCGGACAGGGCGCCACGTGCGCGGCCTCCACGTAGTCCTTTTTCACCAGGACGCAACGACAAGGAAGAGACTCATGGGCGCCGCAGGCGAAGGCACGCACGTCGTGCTCAGGAGCAGGACCTGGCGGAGCCAAGTGGAACTGCGGCGCCAGGTGCGGAGACGCAGAAGGGCAAGGGGAAACGGCGCCGCCAGAAAGCTCCTGACGCGCGTCAGTGTCCGATTTGCCGAGCTCCTGTCGGCAACCATGAGTCTTCCTTGTCGCAGCACCAGTATTGGAACGAAGATTGCAATGCTCGCCGCATCTGGAATGAGCAGTACTGCACTTGGACCGCAGCTCGCCGCCAAGCGCTGCAGCTGAAGGAAGAAAGAGAAGACGCCTATTACAATCGAGGTGTTCCAGTGACACCGGCTCCTTCGCTGGCCGTGAGAAACAAGATCGAAGGCCGCGAAGACACAGGCAAGGAAGAGGAAGAAGACAAGGAGCCCGAGCACGGTGGCAAAAAAAAGAAAGAAAAGAGCAAGCGGAAGAGACGCCGCCACCATCGTCGCCATAGCCCATCTCCAGACGTGCCCCGGGATCGTCGCAGGTCCAAGCGACCACCAAGCGACGACGAGGACGAGGATTTGCCCAAGGTGAGGCGCGGACCTGGTGGGAGCTTCATCTTGCAGTTCACACCAAAGGTGAGCTAGCTGCTCCAAGTGAGCATGTCTGAGCAGAGATGCCATGTGCAGCTCTGGTCTATGGGCGCCGGCGATAGGGACACAGACGCGCAGACATGACACGTCTCGTTTCTGCAAGCACAGAAAAAAAAATCTGGGTTTCAACGAGGGGTATAATATAATATATAGCGGGCATGAAGGACGTGACCGGGTTTGTCCACAGTCTGGCTCAAGCGCGTGCATCTAGGACTCATAGCGGCTCAAGGGTCTAATGGTGCCCAAGATCCCGGTGTCGGTTTCACCTGCTGCTCTCCGTGCCATGATTGAGTCCATGCGACTGACAGTGCCAAGTGCCTCACATGAAGCTTACGCAGAAACTTGGGGTGAGGTTCTTTTTTGCTTGGAGTGTGTCTCCAAGTGGGCTGCGAGATACGGATCGTATGGCGATCGCGTCACCTTGCAGCAGATGCATGCGCTCCTGTTGTACGGTCAATGGGAAGCATGCCCTTTGGACTTAGATCCTCACCCGAAGTTGCTGGGCTTCTGCCTGCTTCCTGCTGTCCTGCCTACGTGGCAGGGCGAGTGGGAAACGATGTTGGGATGGGCGGCTGAACATTGCACCGGAAAGTGGACCAAGTGTCGGAAGCTCCTGAGTGTCTTGGCGTGGCATTTGTCTATGCGACAAGTGTGCCGGAAAGAAATGGTCCGTTGCATACGTTGCGGGAAGCTTGTACGTCAAGCTCAGGGAGCGTTGCGGGCTGCTGCACGTCAGCTCCCCTGACGCCAAGCGATTGTGGCGGAACGGAGTTTCGGTGATGACTGCGGGTTGACTGCGCGTGACTGCGCATGACTGCGGACTCCCGAAGTCCTGTCGCGCATGACTGCGGAGAGGCATGACTGCGGACACGATTTGCAGTGAATTGAGAATGTGCATGGCTGACCCCATGACTGCGCTTGACTGCAAGAGTGGATAAAACAGCAAGGAGGACATGTCGCCGGCAGGGGAATGACTGCGGATGACTGCGGCTGCGCAGACTAGCTTCCACGTAGGCTCCTAGAAGCATGACTGCGGGGTTCAGCAGGTTTCCTCCCAAGTGTGAATGTTTTTGCCTTTTCTTCGTTGCTGTAATTCAAATGTTTGCGTGCATGCATCCCGCGGGTCGACACGCAGGGGCGAGTAGTGGGATTCGATAGCACCCTTATCGTTGAATGTTGCAGTAGGTGTAGTTGTCTTCGTTGTGGTGCTAACTTTACTTTGGGCAAAATAACTGGACGACCCGGGTTCGAATGTTCATCATGTTTCTGGATGCCTTACTTTTATGTGAACTTGGTCCACTTGATTGGTTGTGACTTGATCTCTGGGTGAGTCATGAGTTTCCATGATGTGCTTCGCGTGTGGACACACGGGACTACATTAGAGATAGGATCTCTGGCTGTTCATGTGGGTTTGCATGAAGTTTATCGCCTGTCATGTGGACACATGAGTTTCGATTTAGAGATGTGAGTCTCTTGCTTGTCATGTGAGATTAACATGAATGTTTGGACCTGTCATGAGGATTCATGACAAGATTGCTAGCTGGCCACTAGCGGTTTGGGCGTAACGGTTTGGTTGCGCGTTTAGCGTAACGGATTGGTTGCGCGGAGGGCCGCGGCGTTGGTGATGTTCAGTGTTTCTTGAGCATTTCTTCTTGTTGTTTGCTGCTTATCAATGGATTCTGGCACCGAAGCCTCGGAGTTGGATCCTTCAGATATGGAGGAACGGGACTTGTGGGCCAAGTTGCCAAAGAAGTTCCGAGCACAGGTGGGAAAATCTGAAGGCCAATTGCCGCGCGATGAAATTCTTGGTTTTCTGGTGGACAGCGAAGCAGAAGCAATCGAACTCATGGCTGATTTTGCTCCAGGGGACGGGCTTGCAGGTCGTGTCTTGGTGGAGCTATGGAAACGTGTGCTACCTCGAACACAAAGGTTGTGTCAACGTCGAGGACGCGTGGATCCTGCTTTGCAATCATTAGTTGTGGCTTCTGCAGCTCCACTTGTGGCTAGCGCCGAAGCACAGCATACCTTGTCTTGGTTGAAACGGCAGTCAGGTGCTTGCCGTCAGTGTCGCGGTTGGTCCGCTAGACAGCGCCGCGAGTCATTACATAGGCCACCACTACAGTCGCGAGAAGCTTTGGAAGCTGCTGAGCTGAATCGTTGGCGTGCCAGTCTAGCCGAGTTGGTGATTGAAGCTGGTTTGCCGGTGTCCCACCATGCACAGCTGACTTCCAACCCTGAGGCCATCATTGCCGCGTCCTTAGGTAGCATGCGAGCAGCAACTATTCGAAAACGGGTGCGCGAATGGCGAAAAGTGAGGAATTTCTCTTTGCAACTGTGCGGGCAGCCTTGGCCTCCACATGTAGGTGTTGTGCTAGATTACCTTCATGAACGAATGGAGGAGCCTTGTGCCCGGACCGTGCCTGAGGCAGTGCTTGGAGCATTAGCATTCATGGAAAAGGCGGGCAGTGTGGCAGAAACAGAAAGACTAGCCTCCGCCCCGGTGCTGCGAAATTTTGTCAATCAAGCAACACAAGATTTAGAGGTGGGAGCGCCACCAAAGAAGTCCGCCCCCTTGTTGCCAGTGGTTTTGATTGATGCTTTGGAGCTGATGGTCATGTGTAAGAGTGAGCCTCTGTATGCACGTGCTTTGGCTTGGTATAAGCTGCTGAAACTGTGGACTGCAAGCCGCACCGGAGACCTGTCATCCCTGCGCCCTTCATCTCTGCGCCTAACACCTTTAGGGCTTGTGGGCTGCTTGGAGCGTACCAAAACTACAGGACCAGGCAAGCGGGTGCGGCACCTGCCAATCTTCATTAGTCGATCTGCCTACTTGTTTGCTCCCGGATGGCTGGAAAAGGGTATGGAAATTTGGGGAAGCGATGAATTTTCTTTTGACAGGGACTATTTCTTGCCGTTGCCTTCTGCAGATTGGGCGTCCGTACGCCGCGTCATGGCAGACTTTGCAGACACTGCCGCCTTGAGCAAACGTTTGTTCCGCGCATTAAAACTACCGGTGAAACAGCACAGCCATTGGGTGCCTTCTGTTGTGGAATTATTTCGCGCTGAAGCCGCATTATCTTTTTGGACCGAGCATTCGGAACGCAACTGGCTAAACAGCCACTTGGCTGTCATTGGCGTGCCGCAATCGGAGCGAGATTTCATAGGTCGTTGGCGCGTGACTTCCTCTTCTGACGAATATCAACGCCTAGCGCAGCGGGTTGTGATCAATGCCCAAGAGCAGCTACTAACCTATTTTGCTGGTGATGACAAGTGGGACCTTGGTCACGCAGGCGTGCCCGAACTTGAGCAATTTTTGCGCCAACGCCAAGTTCCCGAAGTGCTCATTGCTGAGCAATGCAAGCAATTGAGGCTACCGGCGAAGTGGTGCAGCCGGGTTCCCGAGCCCCAGGTGCCGGCTCCTCCAATGCCGGAGCCCGCGCCTGTTCAACCCATTGAAGAAAGTCAGGCCGAGTAGGCGAGCCCTTATTTTGTTGTGGTGATTGGCAAACGAGGGTTTCGCCGCTTGCACCGGCGTGGCAGATGCGGTGTATCTGCAATTGAAGTTGGGCAATCAGAGCCGTGCTGGTCCTTGCAAGGGCTTACGTATAATTTAGCTTGTCGCCACTGTTGGAAGCGTGGTGAAGCAACAGTGTCCGAGGCTGAAGAAGCAGATGATTCAGATGAATCTGATGAATCGGTTGAGGGTTGATCTATGCTCCAAGTAGCGCGGTTAGCGTGTAAGGGATAGGTAGGTAACCAGGAGATGTTTACAAGCTCAAGGGGAGAATCCCCTGCAAGCTTGGGTCTTTTGTGCGAGTCAGTCGCATGAAACCGTTTGGCGATGTTGGGTCGCTGTTTGTGTCAGCGCTGAGCGTCTGGCATGTGATACGTTTGTGCGAGTTTGTCGCATGATATGGCCATTTGGTGTGAAGATTATCACACGTTTGCTAGGGAGTTACCTAGTGCTGTGCTTTGGAAGGTACAGGGCCTTTGGGTAGATTGCGGTTGGCTAACCTTTCCGTTAGACTTTTGTAACGGTGTTTAGAGATGGCTTGGCAAGGGGTGTAGTTTTCTAAGCTGTCATGTGCTTAGGTACCAGGGTGTCCTTGCTTGTGTCATCGTTGCCGCCGCATCTGCAGCCCCCTTTGTTTGAAGCTTTGGTGATTTGCCATTGAGTGAGATTCTTTTGTATTCCTTGTTGCTAATGGCAGCTGCTTCTTTGGAGATCATCTTGAAGAAGGTAGAGCCTGCTTTGAGGTATCATATGGATGAAGCAGGTGTCTCTGCGGAAACGCAGAAGAAAGTGTATGAACAAGGAATTGTCTCCTTGAGGACGTTTGCAGGCTTGGAAGAAGATCGCAAGGCTGTCCGCACAGTGTTGCAGTCAGACTTTGGTTTGGATCCAGCGGGAAATTTGGCTCTTCGCTCAGACGTTGCATTGTTGCTGTGCGTATGGGAAAGCGCACGTACCCAGTTGTCTGTGCAAGAGAAGAATCGCCAAGAGTCCAAGCTGGGCATGCAACAGCGCATTGTGCAGCCGTCGGATTATGCAACCATGCGCAGCGCTGTGGAAGCCAAGCATGGCAGACTGAAGGATCGTGAGGCCCCAAGCAAAGGCATGATAGCCTCCAAACTTGAGCAAGTGGAAGATGGGGCACCCATTGCCGAGGATCTCCGCGAAGTGACGTCTTTTGCAGATTCAGAAGTCGAGGCCTACAACGCGATCATCGATCCGTCGATGGGGTTCTTGCGGATTCGTCCAGGCAAGACGACCACGACACCGCCAAGCACTCCGGAAGAATTGCGGCTCCGCCACAGGCGCATTGGGCTAGCCTGGGATTTTGTAAAAGCGCGTCACACCACACGCGCTTGGTTGCCTACATCATCGGTCGACACGTTCCGCAAATTGTCCGATTATGTTTTGGGTGCATCAGTCGCTGGTCTGCGCGCGGCCGACCAGCGAAGTCCCACGTGGTCTCTGGTCCTCACTTATG